GGTAAAATTCGTGATCAGCTCGACCTGGCGATTCAGAATATGTATAATAAAGCACAAAAACATTTCACTCGAAGTTTGCTTTACGTGCATCTTACCCTCATCATCGATTCCCACGTACTGCCTTTTTTTCAAAGTCATGAATACGACTACAAATGTATGAAACATCGTTTCAGGTAAAATTACGCGCCATCTACCTATGAATTTTGAGATTAAACTTTTCAGATAAAAATCGTTATAAATTAAAAGTCATTCTAACTTTAGGGAAAATCTATCATATTTTATCTTGCTGGTCGGCCATAGCTTAGTCAGTAAAGTATAAAATGAAATTAATATTGATCTATATGAGACTACGATTCATTAGCTTTCGAGTACGAATAGCTGGCTGCAAACTTTAACGGAGTTCACTTACAAAAAAGATTTTTGGAAAGGGCGAACTGTGTTTGTGAAATCATGATTTTTCTGGACTCTGCTAGACTGTTATGGACGACCAAACACAAGAGTAGTGATCTATTTTCCAATAACATTTTATCGGCTAGACGAGCGACCAGCGATCTCAGTTTTCTTTAGGCAAGATGTATCCAGGGAAGAGAATAAAAAATTCTTGGTCGACACACTGCCTATAGGTGGCAGCCCAGGAATACGCTGCCGGAGGACCAAAAAAACTTTGTTTTTGACTTTAAAATAGTGGAATCGGTAGTCCGGAAACTGCTCTACAAATGTACACAATTCTCAGGTCTCTCTCTTTACTGATCGTGGACCTATGACCTGAAACTTATTAATAATCCATAAAAGATCTGTTAATTTCCATATTTTTAAATTGTTTTTATTTCTATGAGTTGGTAGTGACAAATCTAATTTGTGATTGTATAGAAATATATAGATTTTTGTATAGGTTTTCATTATTTGTTTCTCATTGAAGACTAACTAAAGAGTTGCGTATTTATTCACTGTCTTATCAAAATCAAGTCGTAGTTTACATTGACAAATCTGACTAATAATAACGGATGAAAAATTTATATAATCTGTTTTCAAATAAGACTGTGCGTAGAAAGAATAAAATATGGATGATTTACTAAAAATAAAACAAGAGAGTCACTGTAAAAATGTTTTTATACAACACGTCATTATTTTTCAGGCATATTAACTGAAAATATGTGCAAACAGATGATAAAAATAGGTTAATGCGATTCTGAGAATTTGTTTTTGTCTCTTGATTTATCACTACTGTTAATGAATCATTTAGATGATTGTTTTTTGTAGTACGAAATATCCCACAGAGAATGATATGATTCTTTTTATAGTTATTGTGTTATATATGCAGGTCATAAGAGCACTAATGAAAAAACGAAGAAAAAAGAAAAATTAGGATATCGTATCTGTTTAGTTATCAACACATGTCATAGACGAAGAAAAATCCCATTTAGATGTGTTGATAGATATCAAGATTATCTCGCATATAAGAATGTAACCTCATATTGTAGACAGAACATTATTTACTTATTCACAATGAGAAGTATTTCTATTCAACTCATTGTTTTACTACTTGGAAGTCTGACGATTATTAGTCATTGTGAGACAACAACTAAGTCAGCAATATCAGCTAAAAATATTGGTTTACGTAGATGTCAAAAACAAAAAGATGGTCAATATTTGTGTTTTTGTGGAAAGAAAAAGTTGATATACGATCGTCTTAAAGGACAAAAATGTATTAATGGACAAATTGTTCAAAATGGCAGTTTAAAAAGGTATTTTGAGCTTTTAATTATTACAATAATTATATTGTATTGAAAACTTTAATCAATACATCTTTAAAATATTAAAAGACTTGTGAATGATCCTCTTATAAGAAAAAAATAATCTATTTAAATAAAATTAATTTTATTTTTAGTGATGGATCAAAACTTCCTGGTCTTCCTGGTCTTCGATTAACAACTAAATCGATTCATCAATCTGCTCGTGACGATAATATTAATGTTCAGTGTGTGGGACTTCGAATCAAGCCACTATCACATGAACTAAATTCAACATATGTCCCACTACGAAATGTATCTGTGGAAGCTTGGATTGATATGTTTGCTGCTGATGTTACTTTAACTCAAGTATATGTCAATCAAGAAGAGAGTCCTATTGAAGCTATTTATGTCTTTCCTATTGAGGTATGTGATTCAAAAAACATAGTTAAAATAAAATGCTTTTATTTTAAATTAATTGAAAACTAAAATCTCTTTTTTAATAAGTAGTTTTTATTGTCATCTAGTAGTACTATCAATAAAATGTAGAGGATATTGTGTTTATCTATTGTTAAAAGAATTGTAATTCGTTTCAAATTGTTTTGTTTTTTTTATTTACAGGAAAATGCTGCTGTTTATTCTTTTACTGCTCAAATCGATGATCGAACAATCACAGCAGTGATAAAAGAGAAGAAAACAGCAGAACAAGAATATCAAACAGCAGTACAACAGGGTCAAACAGCAGTATTGATGCGACAAAGTGAACAAACGTTAGATACATTCACAGTAAATATTTTATGATTTAATAAAGATATCTTCTAGAAAAAGATTGAATACTAACGGGTACGGCAGAGGAAATTGCCGGTTTTTGATAGACTTTTTTCTCAAATTAGACTTGATCAGAAGGTTGAGTTCTGATGCTAAAAGATAGAGAATTTTGTGTAGATTTTATTGATATGTTCTTTTTTAAATAAGCATGTACCGTTCTTTTG